ATCTTTAGGGTCTAAATGAAAACTTTGTAATATACTTTTATTAAAAATTCTCATTAGTATTGTAAGAAAACACTAATTTTACCTGGTCAAAAACATCTCTGTTTTCAGCACGCCGTTTCAGTGCATATGACTTTAAATGATAATGAGCCCCGCTCACCCCGCCCCTCTGTTCTTTGGGGCGTTTTGATAATAATGATTATATAGATCAGTGGTTTTGACACAAAGCACGTGGAGTGTTGCCTTGACAACAGTTGAGGGTATATTTTGGAGAAAGAATGGCAGCGGGAGTCTCTGAGGACACATCTGTGCAACCATATCAGTTTGAACCGGAGTCGGACCCGGAACAAGATGACGGCCCGAAGAAGTTCGACAATTAAGGCTCGAACAGAACGTTTCTGAATGGTTGGTTAACGTAATGTCACTTTGATCTATCTTTGTATGTACTGGCAGGGTAGAGTAGTGAGATACGAACGCTGTGTGTATACTGATGTATAGGTTAGTTCATTGACAGATTGATGTTACAGTTAATGGTCATGAATTTTTTTTTATAATGGTTATTTAAACGTTACACTCACTTCTTCTGGAGGTGCAGCAGGGACACGAATAGTTGGTACCGATTCTTTTTTCAGGAGCAGCTTCTTAGCAAAACCAGCTTCATACTGACCCTCTTTATAAAGCAGTCTGGTGAGAAATGATTCGCGCAAACATGAAAGCATCGACTTTGCTCGTGGGGAATATTCCCTTCGAAAACAAAACTCAGCCACTGCGTCTTCAGCGGTTCGGATTTAGGAACATCAAAATGACTGTTGTGTTCGTTATTACACCCAAAAACAGAACACCACAATCGCTTAGACGCCATTCTGCTCCAGTGTATCAACAATAGCGGACTATGATGACAGCTCGCTCAGGGCAGGTCTGTGTTGAAACGCTGCTGTCAATCAACAATCGTGGGAGGGGCGTCCGATTTAGTGACATCACACGGTCGAACGGCTCAATTTGAGACAGAGGAAAACATATAAGGAGATTAAAACAAAAACACTGGATGGATTTTTATCTTTATATGATGGTTGTGTACAGGCACTGCCAACACACATTTCAGTACAATCAACTTGTAAAAGTGCATGTACCATTATATGACCCCTTTAATATTCATTACTTACTCTTACAATTTTGCATGTGGCTTTTATTTATAACATGATGTTTTTGTTTCTAGGCATGGAGCATAATTTCAACAAATATGATGACAGTTTTGTTACAGATCTAAATACACCATATGACTACGAGTCTGTCATGCATTATCGTCCATTTGCTTTCAACAAAGACCCCAGTATTCCTACCATCACAACCAACATCCCAGAGTTCTTCAACATCATAGGGCAATACCTGGACTTTAGTGAGATGGATGTTGTCAGACTGAATCGAATGTACAACTGCTGTAGGTTATCAATATTAATATAGAAATATGAATATGAATATGAAAAATGAAATATGAAAAATGTAAATATGAATGCATATATACATTTTTATCCCCAGCCTCTTCTCTTACCCTGCTGGACCAGTGCGCTTTTGAAAACATAAACATTTGTGGGATGGTACAGAGTTTGACTGACGATGCTGATTGGGTCCATCTTAAGAGCTCTCCTGGCTCCGAGGATCATACTCTCAATGGACTATGCAGAGGTTACAAAACTCCATTGCCTGAAATAGACATTTTCCATTGTGGCTGCAGTTTGGCCAATTTAAATAACTTTTTATTTTATTTATAGATTTAGGATATACTATGCACTTTGACACCTCCACTGGAAATGCAGAACAATCCGCTCTCCTTGAGTCCCGCATCTTATATCCTAAGAGGAAGCTGCAGTGCCTGCAGTTTTTCTACAAAATGACAGGGAGTGTAAAGGACAGGCTAGTGATTTGGGCCAAGATGGATGATGGAACAGGAACCGTGCGAAAACTAAAGAAACTGCATACAATCTGGGGTAATTGTTTTCCTTTTTGAACTATACTTAGACTCCTAAAAGAACCAGTGGAAACATTTCATTCTACTAAAGGCTCTTTAGATTTTTCAAATGTTCTTCCACTGAGAAAAAATGGTTCTTTTAAGAACTGTTCACTGAAAGACTCTGTGGTGAACCAAAGACCCCAATTTGTAGGTGTAAATTGCAGGAAAGCTTATAAAGATTGTAAAATAATTTTAAATCAACTTTTCATGTCCACACATTCATGTATTAATTTAGTGAGGGACTGTATAATAATCAGAATAATGTGCGTAATCATTATCCCTTAAATGATCCTTTATGTAATCCTTTATCATAAAATGAATGTGGTGATAACAAAAGGCTTATCTTACCCAGCTGACGAAGACGAAACATGGAAGATTGCTCATGTGCCATTGCAGATAGGAGCAAAATTCCGCTATGCATTCCAGGCAGTGAGAGGAGACCCTGCCAACTCTGGAGGAGGCATATTCATCGATGACATCAGCCTGACAGAGACCCACTGCCCAGCCGCTGTCTGGCGCATCCAGAACTTCTCGAGCATCCTGAAAACAGCCGACTACAACACCGTGCTGAACAGCCCTCGTTTCTACAGTCCTGAGGGTTACGCTTATGGGATTCAAGTACGCCCAATCTCTAGCTACTCCGATTACACAGGCAACTACACTGGTTTGTACTTCCATCTGGCCAGTGGTGACAATGACATTGTGATGCAGTGGCCTGCTGTGAACCGCCAGGCCACCATAGTGGTGATGGACCAGGATCCAGACATTAAGCTGAGGATGTCCTCTGCTCGTAGCCTCACCACTGACCTGACCACAGGTATGTGGTGATGGCTTCTATTGTGATATATATATATATATATATATATGTGTGAATATATACTGTATGTGATATAACATGTTCTTTTTGTTTTCCTGTTCTTTAGTCAATGGAGACCAACTAATATGGGACAATCCAAGAAAGTTTGGGACCTTTGACTCAAGCTGCCAGTGTTATCGAGGAGAGTCAGTGGGATGGAGGAGTTTCATAAAACACTACGACTTACGCAGACGGAATTACCTGAAAAATGATGACCTCATCATCTTTGTTGACTTTGAGGGTACGTTTACACTGAGTAACACATTCTGTCTTAGACATTAATAGTGTTACTGTCTAATAATTTGGTTTTGTGTGTCTTTTTAAAGACTTAACAAGCCTGATAAATAGTGAAGTTCCGGTTGCACCAAAGGTTTGAGGCCGATAAGTGTGTAAGTGAGCTCAGTTACCATAACTACAGCAGTTTTATTCTTTCAGAACAAAAGGACTTGCAATAAGCTTTAGTTTACACTTTATTTCGATAGTCCTCTTTAGAAATTCTACAAATAACTTTGCAACCACATGTCAACTAACTCTCATTAATGTGCAACTATACATCAACAGCAACAACATCAAAAACAAAAATTCATTAGATTAAAGTAGACTTTTAGGTCAGGGTTAGCAGAATAAGTTGAAATCTACTTGCAAAGTAACTTATAGTCAGTAGAATGTCTGTTGGGAGAGCATCAAAATAAAGTGTATTCAGCAGATATTAAGCAGACAATCTGCTAATACTCTAATAACTAGTTGACATGTAGTTGCAATGTATATATTATTCAGTAAAATTTCTAAAGTGGACTATCGAAATAAAGTGTTACCACTCCATTGTTACTCAAGTGTTATTGGTTTAACTACCTCTGCTTTTGATCTACCAATAACTAATAAAGAAATAATCAGTAGTTTGATAAATGACATACAGTATGATATGTTTGTGAAATTGTATGAGAGAATTGAACTTTTTATCTCTTGAAACAGGTGCCTGTCTGAAGAGAGAAAGCTGTGTGCATTGTGGAGAACGTCATCTAACACATCTTAAAATGGAATTATGATTACTACAAATATGTGTTTGATATACTCACTCTGTACTCTAACTTTTTAAACATTCCCAATGTCTGAAATGAAACTCTTTTACCAAACGTCGTATTAATGCAGCAGTCAATAATTGTGAATATCTTACACATTGCACTGGCATCTGAAGTGATACACCTGCATGCAGTTGAAACCTTGTTAGTTTTCTGTGTGCACTTTACTGTTAAAATGTAATAATATCTTAATCTTATCTGAAATCTGATATGACTGCATTGACCTATGTTGCAGTGCTGAGGTTATACTCCTCTTCATATATTGGCCTGCAGTAAACCTTTAACTCTATTCCTCTTATCTTTTATTTTGAGTTTGCAGATCGGATATCAAAAAGTCCTTTTACACATAAGCTTTTGTGCTTTAAAGTCACCAATGAAATTGCAACAACTTGTCCCACTTGCAACAACATCTCTTCTCTTCTCTTCTCTTCTCTTCTCTTCTCTTCTCTTCTCTTCTCTTCTCTTCTCTTCTCTTCTCTTCTCTTCTCTGATGGTGTGTTTAATGGAGCGAGGATCACTCACAGGACATCACAATAGCAAACCACAATGATCCAACAATGATTCACTCAGATACAGTATACATCACAATAGAGAAGAAAAGTCTATCGCAAATTCTGTTCCTTGCTGACTTTATTAAACAAAAAATGGGTCACCAAATATTAATTTCAATTCAGGAACATGTTGTGGCTTTAGTTACTTATTTTCTACTACATTTCAAGCATAATCAATGCGTGTTTTTCTAAGATTTCAGTTTTTAGTTTAGCCCATTAAATACAACATTGCTGCTAAAAAATGATCGAAATAAGTCTGAATCACATTTTTCTTTGCTCATCAGATGTTATGAGCGACACAATGTAAATATATCCATTTTGACAGATTGAATTCATAATACTGTTATCGTAAAGAAGGATAAAGATAAAAAAGATAAAGAAGAAAGAGATAAAGATAGATATAGAAGAGCTGATGCATGCAGTAAACAGACACTTCACAATACACATGACAGTCCATTAACCAACTGGTCCATCCACTTGTGTTACTTCACCTGGTAATTGTATGTGCTTCTCAGACCAAAGTTCTACTCCAACTCTGACTTTATTGGTATGTTTGTAAGTGCGCTAAACCCTGTTGTCGTCTCCTGGAGTTAACATGGACACGGTGTGGAGAAGCATTCTCTTCATAGTACTTCTCACGTTCAAGGTATTTTAAAATTTATTATTATTCATTTTTAAATATAAAAACGTCTTGACATTTTGAGTTATGGTAAAGTAAACACATCCAATGAAAATGTATTAATCTAATCTATAATCAATCTATCTTGCAGGTGCATGCCCTTCCAACACAATATGGTACAACATTTTAGACATTTTAAAGATCATGTTCAATTTGAATTTTATCTTAATAGAGCTTCTTACAAGCTTGCATGCTTTATTAAATATTAGTTAAGGATGCAGATGCAGGTGAATTACGGGAGGACATTCTTGAAATCAATTTAGGTCAGTAAAAATTAATTTGTAGAAAAGTAAACAGTTTGCCATACAAGCATAAGTGTTTTACATGCATGCGATACAATCTTATTATACATATATTTGTCAGTTCAATAAGAGAAAAACATCAATTTTAAAGTATCTGAATTTATCCATTTTCATTGAAACATTTCAGATTCCCAGAGAGATTTGTTTGAAGGAGATATTGCTGGAGATGTAAGTCTTTCTTTTTAAAACAAATGTCCATTGTCCAAATCTACTGCCTTTTATTTTTTTAATCTTATTTTATACACAATATTTTAATTCCTAAAACGAACTCTTATCTTAGCCACGAAGAAATGCAATATTAGATGAAAAATCAAGATGGGAGTTTCCCATTCCATACATACTCACAGATAGTTTGGGTGAGATTATTTATTATTTTCAAATGCAAAATCAACCAACTGATTCCAGGATGAGAATATTCATATAGCTTCACTTGTTTAGATCTTAATGCAAAAGGAGTGATCCTTCAAGCATTTGAAATGTATCGTCTCAAGTCTTGCGTGGACTTTAAGCCCTATGAAGGAGAGAGCACCTATATTTCTTTCACAAAGCTGGATGGGTAAGTAAAAATCAGCCTGGGCTGCTTTTCCCAAAAGCATTGTGAGCCTGCATCGATGCTTTTGGAAAATGCAGTTTTGTTTTTGTCATTGTTACAGATGTTGGTCATTTGTGGGAGATTTAAAGAGAGGGCAGAACGTCTCCATAGGGGACAGATGTGACACCAAGGCCATCGTAGAGCATGAACTTCTCCATGCACTGGGTTTCTACCATGAACAGTCTCGTTCTGACAGAGATGACTATGTTCAAATCTGGTGGGATGAAATTATTCCAGGTTATTTGCATCTATTTTTATTATAAAAGTGCATCATGAATCTCTTTTTTGTGCAAATTTGTGATTTGCAATGCAAAAATGGGGAAGGATGGGACAAATGTAATGCCTCTTTCCTTTTGTCATCCAAATTTGTTCAGGAAAGGAGCACAATTTCAATAAGTATGAGGATGATTTTATAACCGATTTGAACACGCCCTATGATTATGAGTCCATCATGCACTACAGGCCTCTGTCTTTCAACAAGGACCCTGATATTCCCACCATAACCCCTACCATCCCTGCCTTCAATAACGTAATAGGACAGCGCTTAGACTTCAGTGCTCTTGATCTGGAAAGACTGAATCGCATGTATGAATGCAGTAAGTTCTGATATAACAACTGCCTCAGGCTCTTACAAACAATGCTTGACCTATTTCGTGCATGAAAAAACATTCCATACTTGCAGTATTGCCATATCAACTTGGTTTCTTTCAGCTGCAACCCACACTCTTCTGGATCAATGTGCCTTTGAGCAGATCAACATTTGTGGAATGATTCAGTATGATGAAGATGATGCTGACTGGGTCCAGACTTTGAGCTCTACAGATGTAAAGGACCACACACTTGCAGGAAACTGCAGAGGTAATTTCAGTTGAACACTTTTGTTTATAGAATAAAGCATCGTCAGGGTTCAACAAAAATATATATTTTTTTATATAAAAAAATAAAATAAAAACGTACAAACTTTTTGAAAAAAATGTCTTAACATTTAAAGTGAGATGACGTGAAGGCCAAGTATGGTAACCCATTCTCTGAATTTAAACCCATAGTAGTGGAGCAGTGAGTAGTGAACACACACACACCCGAGCAGTGAGCATTGCTTCCCTTTGCTGTGGTGCCTGGGGAGCAATTGGGGGTTACTGTAGGTGCCTTGCTCAAGGGAACCTCAGTCATTTTCTGCCGGTGTGGAGAATCGAACCCGCAACCTTTGGGTTACTAGTCTGACTCTCTAACCATTAGGCCATGCATGAGTCATGACTGCCCCAAATTTGATGAAATTTGGTGGAAAAAAATGACTGATAAATTATTTTCTGTATTAGTAAACTAGTTAAAATTTCCTTATGTGACAACAATATTCAATTATATATAGCCATTGAATTCCATTTTGCATAAACAATGTTTTATTATTAGATGCAGGCTATTTTATGACGTTTGACACCGCTAACAAGGCTAAGGGACACACAGCTTTGTTGGAGTCACGGATTCTTTACCCCAAGAGAAACCAGCAGTGCCTCGAGTTCTTCTACAAGATGACTGGAGACTCTGGTGACCAGCTCATCATTTGGGTCAAAAGGGATGATGGAACTGGCACTGTTCACAAAGTCAAAAAAGTTCACACAATCACAGGTCAGTTATGGCCAAACGTTACTATATGTGCACTCACATATCTATTATATAGCAAATATCATCTGTCTGATTTTTTATTTATTTAGTCGTAAAATATAACTATATTAATTCCCAGCTCTAAACTGCTAAAAGCAACCGTAGAGCATGAAGATATTAAGATATTATAAACATTAACATCATGTTTTTGTATAAAGCTGCTTTGTGCAAACAACTGATTTGTCTTGACTACTGACAATTGACTCAAAATATCTCTTCTGATAGCCTACGATTATGTATTAGATATTGAATACTGTGCACCTCTTTGATTTCTTCAGGGGACGGGGATGAGTCATGGAAGATTGCACACGTCACTCTAAATGTTGAGGAAAAGTTCCGGTACTTCTTTCAGGGTATTGTTGGCTCCAACAAAACATCAGGAGGGATCTTTATAGATGACATTACTCTGACTGAGACATCATGCCCAAATACTGTCTGGAGGATTCAGAACTTCACCAGCCTCCTTAATACTATCCCACAGGGTGACAGAGTTCAGAGTGCTCGTTTTTACAACTCTGAGGGTTACGCTTATGGAATTAATGTGTATCCAAATGGCAGGAATAACTCCGCTGAAGAGTTTGTTGGGATCACTTTTCACCTCTTCGCTGGTGAGAATGATGCAGTATTAGAATGGCCTGCAGCGAATCGGCAGGTCACTATTACGGCTATGGATCAAAATCCAGACTCAAGACTTCATATGTCTAACAGCAGAAGCTTCACCACTGGTACGTCTGTCCGTCTGTCTGTCCGTCCGTCCGTCCGTCCGTCCGTCCGTCTGTCTGTCTGTCTATCTATCTATCTATCTATCTATCTATCTATCTATCTATCTATCTATCTATCTATCTATCTATCTATCTATCTATCTATCTATCTATCTATCTATCTATCTATCTATCTATCTATCTATCTATCGTTCAGTCCATCCATCCGTCTATCCATCTTCGATTTCACATTGCAGCAATCAAGGAATTTTGAATGATTTAATGACCCCCATTAATCACTCACGTAGATGCTGACATGCGGTGGAGTAAACCATCTACGTTTGGAGAATGGGACGAAAGCTGCTTTTGCTTCAGAGGTCCAGAGTTTGGTTGGGCCACTTTCATCTCACACGATCAGCTCCATAGGCGGGACTTCCTCAAGAACGATGACCTGATCATCACTGTTAATTTCGATGGTAATTTTGATCATGCAGAACTGTTCCACCCATCACTAGTGTGTTTACAGCTTTTGGAATAAATATGTTAATTGTTAAAAGTGTGTTTTACTTTAACAACCAGATTTGACACATCTTGTAAAATCTGAAGTTCCAACCAAGCTCCAACTCTCAAGCAACCCCCAGCCTGCAGAAGAAAGCTTTGAGAGCCCAAAAGTCCGGGTACCACGAGCGATCAGCGACCCATGTCAGCCAAACCCCTGCCGTAATGGAGGAGCTTGTGTCATACTTCAGGGGATGGCAACATGCAGGTTAGTGCAGATCTGACCGTCATCTCAGCGTGTTTAATTATAAAACCACAGTTTGTTGCTTAAGAATGAAAAAAATGCTTGTGTTTGCGTGGCTTATATGTCTTCTGCAGGTGTGTCTCTGGACAGGCCATTGCGTACACAGGAGACACTTGTGAGAAACAGCACTTTGATGGAGGAATTCTGGGAGTTTTGATCGGTGGTGCTGCAGGAACTGTAGCTCTTACTGTTGCCATTATAGCGGTGATCTACAGGCAGAACTAAACCTATTTCATCATATTTGACATCTGAATAACCACTCTGTGATAAGCAAAGTATTTTATTGATGAACCATCTTACAATAGTATGCCCAAGAACTTTTATTCATAATAAAACTTGTGTTATTAACAATCTCATCTCTCTTTTTTCCATATCCCTTTACATGAAAAAAGGAAATCGGTCTAACTAAAAAACATTATGTGTCAAGCTCAAGAAGAGTGCATAGATGTATTAAATTATCTTTGGTTCATCAGATATTTTGTCAGAATTACTAAATAGCAGAAAAAGATGTCATAGTTCCATATGTTTAGCAAAATAGAAGCAGAGCTAAAACTAATCAGATTACAACCAAGGTAAGTGACCACATTTTACATTGCATTTAAAGAGATATACATTTTCATAGGAGGTTTAGAACTGTTTTAAATTAAAGACAACAACAATCAGGGCATCGCTACATATATACAGCAGCACCTTATATTGTTCTTTTATAAACACAAACACGAACATCTATTATATTTTTTTGATTCTCTTGGTTTGTTCCTAAGTTTATGCAGTAAGTAAAAAGGGACGACCACAGCCTATACTTTGTTTCAAAGATGTTAAGTCTTTTAGGTCTTCACCAAACAGTTGTGCTTCCTCTTCTCTTTTTGTTTCTGCTGTGGGTTCAGAGGTGGATCAATGTCCTATAATGTTTTACATGCTCCTTCTGCAATACAAATCAGAAACTCTTTCATTAAAGAAAATTTTGTCTTCAAGTCATTTAGCTGCCTTTGAATTGATGAACTTTGCAACATTGACACTGTTATTGAATCAACATTTGAACTAAACTGAGCTGAATAATGACACTATTATCCTCCGTAGAGCTGCTTTACAGTTGAAATAGAAGTTGTTTCATAATTGATTAATTTTGCAACATTAACAGTGTTATTTTCCTGTAAAGCTGTTTTAAAACAATCTGTATAAAAAGCATAGGCCTATATAAATAGCCTATATTTAAAGTGTTACAATATATATATATATTAAATATACCTATATAAATAAAAGCGATTTGACTTAAATCTTCCTCACATAATAATTCCTGGTTTTAAAATCAAACAAGGAAAAAAATCTAAAACTTACCTTGTGTGCATCCATTTGTGTGGATCATTTATTTTGCGACGGATGTTGCTGTTGCTTGTTCTTTTCCAGATTTCTGAGGGTGGAGGTGGAGGTGGGGGGGGGGGGGGGGGGGGGGTTATTATAATGTAATATTTCATAATGTTATTTAAAATATTTGTATTTTAATTTAACATTGTATTTTGCAATTATTATTTGTATTATAATTGTTCACTCAAATTGATTTTTTTCTCCTAACTTTGCTGTGGCATGGCATTAAATTTTTTTTTAACATGGGTTCCCCAGAACTTACCCCCAGAACTTTTTTTAATATTTCATCTCGGACCTGTAGAAAAAAAAAAAAACAGGTAAGTGTTCTGTGGTCCTACCTAACATCTTTAATGTCAATTACAATGCATACCCTTTTTTCTGCAAAACATCCTGTCAACAAGATGAAGAAGCCCTAGAAGGTATAAATGATACAGAGGCATTAGGTATAAATGATTCAATATATAAGTCGTACTATTTAAACTGTTATAATTTTCGTGTAGAGACGGGAATACCTGCAGGGAGTTGACTATGGTGAACGCGTAATGCACTATGTATGTAATAAACTGTGTAAAGTCGTCCATCAGAAACACCAAAATCCCCAGAATCCAAGTCCCACCAAAAACAGGAGTGAGAAACATAATCACTTTGATTATGCTTTTTGCTGCATCTTTGTCCCCCTTTTTGTTGGTCTCAGCTCCAGACGGCTTTAAAACCGTTGCAATGACCACCACCATGGAAGCCAAGTTCACCAGCACTATGGTCCCAACTGGAAAGAGAAATGCGTGAATGGATCCCTGCATGGCTGACTGATAGGTAAGCCAGCATGTTTTCGAGCTGTAATACGGGATGTCAGTTGCTTGATCGTAGTACACGTATGTTACCGCCACAGTCACTGTTGGACAAACATAGCCAATGGTGAATCCGATGATCATGTAAATCTTTTTCCCAATGTGGCTGAAGACGAAAATGAGCTGGTGGACCAACATGACACTCAGACACAGCATCCAAAAGAACATCGCCAGGAAGAAGTAATGCTTAGCCACCACCAAAACAAGGCACGTGGTATCATTTAGGATTGATGGGAAAGAGGAAGCTAAGAAGCTGCAGTCGGCCAAAAGCAGACACAGAGAGATGTTGAGGAGTGAAGTGTGCCGGAAGTGAGAGAGGCTGGATTTAACTACGGCGCTCCAGACCAAACACTCGATGATGATATAGACGATGAGAGAGCATATGGAGACTCCCAGTCCGATGTATGTGAGCTGATCTAGAAAAGGCATGCTTACTGAATGCTTGGACATGAGCATGGAGAAGGAGGTGAGATGGTTGCATTCACAGTAGGCGGTGTTCCCGGGACCTTGAACGTAATCGCAACCTTCGTCTGACCATCTCTCCTCCGAGACGTTCCAAAACACACATTGCATCGTGGCACTGCCGCCCTCATCATTTGGAAAAGCCAGTCTGATGTTCACCGAAGGGTGAGTGCTGTTCACAACTGTGCTGGATACGACTATGCTAGGAAACAATGAGTCCTCATAACCCAATTTTGGCAAGCGGTTGGCCAAGCTCTGTAATCCTACTGTTTTCACCATTTCTGCTGTTGCGTTCAGCTCAACGTCCACGTTGAAAACGGTTTTGTTGCAAGTGGTGCCGCTTCGGCAGATCTGAAGCTGAATGTTTGAGGAGTTGTAGCCCTCACTGTTGTTTATTCTGATGCTGTTTACAAGGCCTTCTACGGATGACAGATATTGTGTGGCCAGTGAAGCGCTCTCTTCCTCATCTCCCCCATCCCAGGTTACGTTCAACATGCTGCTGGCTGATTCGATGAAATCCTTCAAAGAGAACAGATTTTCTACTGAAACAGCAAATATCTCAAAGCAACACATTCTCACTCTCAGCCCGTCACACATTGACACTTGGTCAGGAATTTTATTTACATTTTTTTTTTTTTTTTTTTCGCTATTTAGACATGTTTGAACACGTAACCAAACCCCACACCTAAACCTACCCATTTGTATATTATATGATAATAAAACACAGGATATAACAGGCATATACGACTACAAGCGCAATTTATTTAAAAACTACAAATATTCCAAGTGTTCCGAGGCCAAACGATTGATTTGTGTGAAGAAAAGACTCAAAAGCGATCACCGTCTCCATCTGCCGTAGATCATGCCATAGATTTTACAAATGCAAAGAATTATGCGTCTTAATCTGACGCATAAGGCAAACAACTGAAAGCAATGGAGTACCCTGTGGGTCGAAAAATGACGCTGAAGGGGTACCCTGTGCATTAAAAAGTTATGCAGAGGGGTTCTGACCAAGCATCAATATGTGACGAGTTGGGTGTGAGAACGTGTTGCTCAAAGCATACAAACTTTTTGATAATGTTACAGCCTGAGTTACATTTTAGACTTTAACATGATCAGAACCTGAAGATGTACAGTGCCTAGAATAAGTGAACACACCCATGCTAAAGTTGACTAAAAAGAGGAATAAAAAAATCATCTTTTGGAAATTGATCTTAATGCCTTAAAAAATGAGGAAAACTCCAAACTTTAAGGACAACAATTTTCTTTGTGAACGAATAATGTATCGTAAATAAATAAATGTTCTTCCTTAAAATACAGGGTGCATAAGTCAGGACACCCTATGTTAAATTCCCATAGAGGCAGACAGATTTTTATTTCAGTTTTTATTCCATGGATCCAGGATACTATGCATCCTGATAAAGTTCCCTGGGCCTTTGGAATTAAAATAGCCCCACATCATCACATACCCTTCACCATACCTAGAGATAGGGCACTTTCCATAAGATCATCTCTCAATGCAAATCAAACCAGCTATTAGGCTAACTGAAATAAAACCATGCCAATCTCTAGGTATGCTGAAGGGTATGTGATGATGTGGGCCGGGGCTATTTTAATTCCAAAGGCCAAGGGAACTTTATCAGGATGCATAGTATCCTGGATCCATAAAATAACTGGCCTTTAAAAATAAAAATCTGCCTGCTCTATGGGAATTTGACATAGGGGTGTCCTGACTTATGCACCCTGTATTTTAAAGCTGGAGTCCGCAGTGTTTCCTCTTTGTCGTCATCTCTGTTCGAAATCTTCAATTGCAGTCAGTCATTCGCGGAATTATCAACTTTACGTGAGTGAGTGACAGTTCTAGGCACTGTAGTAGCTCTCAATATGGGTACCTCAAATTTTCAAAATGTTATTTTATATTGAATATATGTAATGAAGTAAGAGATGATCTTATGGAAAGTGCCCTATCTCTAGGTATGGTGAAGGGTATGTGATGATGTGGTATCGTGCATCCCTAATTGAAAATATTTAACGGGTTCGCGTGAGGGAGGAGCAAAGCATTGCCATATTTGAAGCACATTTAGAGATGTGATTAAATAAATAGCTGTTTTGGGATAGTAATTTCACTGCTTAAGTCTGCGTGTGTGAGAATGTGTGTTCTCTTACGTGGGTTCTCTCGGATTGCGTAAGCTAGCTTACGCTGCGGGAAAGATTCATCTTTGCTGAGATATTGAAGCCAAAAATTATTTCATAATTTGTATCCATACACAACGCAGTTCCTCTGCGGCAGACCTAGAGCAGGCTAGCTAGCAGCTCATTGGTTCGCTCAGAGAGAACTGCTTAAGCCTATGGGAGAGCGGGGCTGAACCCGCTTCCAATGAGAGGCGCCCGCGCGCTCATTGCGTCATGGCCCGCCAGAATGGGCGTGGCCATGGTGTATATAACAGTCTCTCCCAGGCTTATATGTTGATTCATTTCATCTTCAGCAAGCTGCACGCTTCTGCTGTCCTGAGAAAAGCCGTCGCCGTCGAGAAGGCATCACTCTAGCGAGCTCCCGGACCCTGAAGAAGCCGGCCGTCTTCGCCACCTTCAGCCGCCCTGCAAGCTAGCGCCATCCGACGACTGTATCCTTCTCTATTATATCTAAAAGAGCCGAGCGTCTTTTTAAAGATGTCTCGTTTTTCCTGCGGCTCTTGCCGCGCTCGTCTCGAGGACGGAGACCGCCATGTCATCTGCGCTCTCTGCCTGGGACTCGAGCACGCAGAACTCGCCCTCGCGGATGGAGGATGCGACTTCTGTGAGAGCCTGCCGTTGTCGTCCCTGCGGGCACGACTTCTGGCAGCAAAATCCGCTCCCGCGCCGCCTTCCTCTTCGCCGCGTAAGAAAAAACGCCGCTCCCAGAGGAACAATGCCCCCAGCGGAACAATGCGGGCCGCCGCCACTGCCTCCCGCTTCCCGCTCTCCCTCCCCGCCCCTGCCGGACATACAGTTGCCGCCGAGTGGCCGCTCTGTCGCTTCCGATGACGCCGCGGAGGAGAAGGACTCCTGTTCACTGCTCGCTTCTGACAGTGAAGAATGGTCATCTCTCGGATCCACGAGAGAATCGGCGGGGATCCGCGCCGGGATAGAGGAGGAACTAATGCGCCTCCTCTCACAGGCCGTCGAACGCCTCGGTCTCGAGTGGTCTCCTCCACCCGAGCAGGCCCCGAACCGGATGGACGGCAGCTTTTTTCATCGGCGCTCGACCCCCGTGTGCAACCGGGCCGCTCCATTCCTGCCTGAACTTCACGCAGAGCTGACGAAGTCCTGGAATGCCCCGCTCTCGGCTAGAAACCGCTCTGATATATCCGCCTCGCTGCGCTCGGTGGACGGAGCCGCCGAGAAAGGCTACTCAGCCATGCCGCCCGTCGAGGACTTGGTCGCCGCACACCTCTGCCCGCCCTCTGCTAGATGGCGCTCTTCCCCCACGCTTCCTTCGAAAGCTTGCAGAGCGACCTCGAGCTTTCATGCTCGCGCCTACGCCGCCGCCGGTCAGGCCGCCGCAGCGCTACATTCGATGTCTGTCCTCCAAGTATTACAGAGCGATATTCTCCGTGAGTGGGCCGAAGGCGGTAGAAACCCCTCCCCCGCTGTCACGGATCTGAGAAGTGCTACGGACCTCGCCCTTCGCGCCACTAAAGCCGCCGCACAAGCTCTGGGGAGATGCATGGCCAGCCTTTGTGTTGCCGAGAGACACTTATGGCTCACGCTCGCCGACATGGGAGATTCTGAGCGCGCCGCGTTTCTTAACGCGCCCCTCTCCCCGACGGGCCTTTTTGGATCTGCTGTCACGGGAATCGTCGATCGCTTTTCTGAGGTCCAGAAAGCTACTCAGGCGATGAATTTGTTTCTGCCCCGCCGCGCTAGCTCTTCCGCGGGCCGCTCTCGCGAGCCTCCTGCCAGAGCTCCACCACAGCGCCCCCCTCCGCAGACTCAAACAGCCCAGCGCAGACAGGGCGGTCGCCCTCGCTCTCGCTCTGACAGCCGCCGCAGACCGCCGCCCCCACGAGGCCCGCGACCTAAGATCACGCTGAAGCCTGATCATCAGAAGTCTGCCTAGCAAAGTCAAGAAAACGACGGTGCTCTCCCGCTGCGGCCGGACCGCCGTCAAAGCTTCGCCCTCTGTCAGTCCCCGTTATTTCGCCGACTGCTGTAGTGTTGACCGCCACAAACAAGCCGGTGTCCCAGCCCGCTTGCGAGCGACAAAAAGCCGTTTTTACGGCTACTAAGAGAAATCTCAAAAAGAGAAAATTTGCCAGTTGTGTAGAAAAAGTGCCCACAATCATGTGCTCACCCATACACACAAGCATAACATACCCTGTGTCTCTATCACAGCCCCATCACATGAAACGGGCACAGCCCGCTCTAATATTAGAGAACATAAACACGCCCACGAGCTCGTGCGCGTGTCCCCTCTCTGCTCGCTCTGTTTCACGGCCCATAGACTCCTCTCTGAGTGCAAATCCCGTTGCCACACACATTCAAAGCGCGCCCACACACTGTGTCCAGCCCGCTATGTGCAGCAATCAGGGCGATATAGCCATTCGGCCACTAGCCGCATGCTCCAAAGCGTGGGAAGCCATTCCAGGCATTTCCCCGTGGGTGCTAAGCATTATAAAGGACGGCTATCTGCTACAGTTTCGCCGCCGCCCGCCTCGTGCGCGCGCGCGGCTCGAATCTACTGTCAGCCCGCTGGCCGCCGGCACGCTCTGCTCAGAAATTGCGACGCTGTTGCAAAAGGGCGCCATAGAGAGAGTCCCACCATCTATGACCGAGTCGGGGTTTTACGGCCGTTATTTTCTGGTTTCCAAGAAAGACGGCGGCCTCAGACCGATTTTAGATCTCAGGTCTTTGAACAAAGTGCTCATGAAGAGACCGTTCAAGATGCTCACTACCAGGAAACTCCTCGCGCAGGTGCGCCAGGGGGACTGGTTCATCTCTCTAGACCTGAAAGACGCCTATTTTCAGATCCAGATAAATCCCCGTCACAGGCCATTCTTACGTTTCGCCTTCGAGGGTCATGTTTATCAATACGCCGTTCTCCCGTTCGGCTTATCTCTGGCGCCCCGCACATTTACGAAGTGCATGGATACGGCGCTCGCCCCCCTGCGGAGCCAGGGGCTGCGCATATTGAATTATCTGGACGACTGGCTGATTTTGGCCCAATCACAGACGGAGCTTCTGTCGCAGTTCTCCTCGACCATCTGAAAACGCTGGGCCTCTCTGTCAACTGGACAAAGAGCTCCCTTCAACCCAGTCAATCGATTTCCTTTCTAGGAATAGATTTGAACTCGGTCACGATGACGGCTCGCCTGTCTACACAGCGCGCGCGCAGTGTACAGCGACTGGCCGCCTCGTTTCAGATGGGCACCCGCTCACCTCTGAAAACTTTTCAGAGGATGCTGGGTTACATGGCCTCAGCCTCCGCTGTGCTTCAGCTGGGCCTTCTGCACATGCGTCCGCTTCAGCTTTGGTTAAACAGCCGTGTACCCCACCGCGCGTGGAACACGGGCCGCCAGCTGATCAGAGTTACGCAGACATGTCTCACAGCGCTGCAGCCATGGACAGTAACAGAATGGTTTCGACAGGGCGTCACGATGGGGACCTTTTCTCGCCGAAAAGTCATCTCGACAGATGCATCCAACACGGGTTGGGGTGCAGTCTGCGAGGGCTCACCGGCCTTCTCTGAACCCCGACGCGCTCAGTCCCTGGGCAAAGACGAGTTAGTCATCCGCTTCCTCAGGGGAGCTAAGAGGATGAACCCTCCGCGCCCCCCTTCGGTTCCTACCTGGGATCTTTCTATAGTTCTCGAAGCTATGAAAGCACCCCCGTTCGAACCGCTCGAGTCTGTGGACCTAAAATACCTCTCGCTCAAAACCGTTTTTCTGACGGCTCTGTCCTCAGTAAAACGCGTGGGGGATCTTCACGCGCTCTCATCCAGCGCCGCGTGTCTCGAGTTTGATCCGAATGATTCTGTTGTCATTCTCAAACCTAGACATGGCTATGTCCCGAAGGCGATTGGTACCCCGTTCAGGGCTCAGATTATTTCCCTATCGGCTCTGCCTTCATCCGATAGTGAGCGCGACGCCAATCTCCTCTGCCCGGTGCGGGCTCTGAGATTGTACACTACGCGCGCTGCCGCGTTCAGACGCGCTGAGCAGCTTTTCATGTCGTTTGGGGGGCGCACCAAAGGTCTGGCCGCCTCTAAACAGACACTGTCTAGATGGATAGTAGACGCTATCGCCTCTGCTTACGCATCTAAATGCCTGCCCTGCCCTCTGGGCATCAGGGCGCACTCCACTAGAGGCATGGCCTCATCGTGGGCATGGTCCTGTGGAATTTCCATTCATGACATTTGTGTGGCCGCGGGATGGGCCTCCCCGTCCACTTTTGTCAGATTTTACAACTTGGAAGTTCCCGCCTTGCAGGCAAAATTACTAGCTGTCTAACGACCAGCTCCCTAAGAAGCTGCATTACTGGGAGTCCCTCACACAACCGGTTCGCCCCTTGTGCTCTCCTTAAATGCTTATACACTTAATGTGCCCGCTCTGCCGGCCTCATACATGCTTATGTATACACTTCATGTGCCCGCTCTGCCGGCCTCATAATACATTCACTCCACGTTAAAAATCCCCCGGTATCACCCTGGGATTCATGAGTGGATTCATAGCGCGCACGGCGTTGACCAGGTGTTCCCGCAGCGTAAGCTAGCTTACGCAATACAAGAGAACCTCTCGTAAGAGAACGAATCGGTTACCTAACGTAACCTCGGTTCTCTCTAGAAGAGGGAACGAGTATTGCGTTCCCGGCCGTGCTTGCGCTACTAGCGTTTCGCTTCACGCTGAAATAAATCAACATATAAGCCTGGGAGCAAGGCCGTAACCAGGGTTTGAAAATTAGTGAGGTCCGGGGTGTTGTGTAAAGAATTTTGCTATAATAATGGTTTGGCCATTGGACCCACATTTCCCAATGGACATTAAGCTGTGACCCTTTTTTTTAATGGAATTTGGCATATATATATATATATATATATATATATATATATACAGGGGTTAAATTTGGATTTAATTATGTGTGGGGTAGTCTCTCACTAGGGGGGTCCGAGGGTTTGCCCCCCCGGGATTTTTTTGTGAAAAATAAACCAAAATGGCACTTTCTGGAGAGTTTTGTGCAAAGAAAAAGTAGGTCTAGCAAGTGCAACGCAATCTCACGACCAATTCGTCCGAATTTGACGAGTGATTAAAAGATGGCTAATTCGTACGAATTCGTACGACCTCATTCGTAGGAATTTGTACATTTGTCTAAACCCACGTGATGGGTAGGTTTAGGGGCGGGGTCAGGGTCATTCGTACGAATTCATACGAATTGGGCAACTCGTCAAATATGTACGTTTTAGCAAAAATCGTACTAATTCGTACGAGTGAGGTCGTACGAACTGTTACGAATTAGCCATCTTTTAATCACTCGTCAAATTCGGACGAAATTCACACAGATCAAACACAAATATGCTGACTGAATAGATTGCTAGTTGAGAAACACTGCTTTAATTAATGTTTTTATGATGGCTTTGTGAAAGGTTAACTAAACAGCATGAGCCGTCTTCCAGCTGGCCAGTAAGTTATTTGGCAAATTTCATTCTGTAGGCTAACATACAGATCTGTTTTATGCTATTGTTTTTGATAGTGTTATACATTTCTTACAGATAATCGATTGTCATTGCGTTTGTCTTACCGAATGTGGTAGCTTTATGCAATTACAGTTTGTCTATAAGCTTCTTTTTTTTTAAATGTATTAATGCCGACAGTTAAATGTTGCCAGATATTGCTACGAAAAACAAGCAAAACAAAATAATAATAATAATCCGAAATAAGTTCAAAGCTTGTGTTTTGGAAATAAGGTTAATATATCACTAAACCTTTCCACATTAATAACTTCCTAAAGTGTCACATTAAATCAGAAAAACAGGTGACTACTGCCACCTTTCTATTAGGTGGATCTGGCAACACGGAGGCTGCACCCGCGTTCACAACGCGCTCTCAAGCCCCGTTCAGTTCACTGCGCCAGCTTCTCGCAGCAACATGAATTGCAAACACTCATATGAGGTGGTTTAAACACTGCTAATTAATCATTCAGAGAGCTTGACATTTTATTTTTGAATGTAAAAAAAATGACCGAGGTCCGGACCTCGGTGACCTCATAGCTGGCTACGGCCATGCCTGGGAGAGACTGTTATATACACCATGGCCACGCCCATTCTGGCGGGCTATGACGCAATGAGCGCGCGGGCGCCTCTCATTGGAAGCGGGTTCAGCCCCGCTCTCCCATAGGCTTAAGCAGTTCTCTCTGAGCGAACCAATGAGCTGCTAGCTAGCCTGCTCTAGGTCTGCCGCAGAGGAACTGCGTTGTGTATGGATACAAATTATGAAATAATTTTTGGCTTCAATATCTCAGCAAAGATGAATCTTTCCCGCAGCGTAAGCTAGCTTACGCAATACTCGTTCCCTCTTCTAGAGAGAACCGAGGTTACGTTAGGTAACCGATTCGTTTGTGGGTAAGTTTGTGTGATGTGACACACTTTATTATTAATCTTTATTAATGTTTATGGCTGTTAAGTGTCATTTGTTTTTAAGTGCCAAGGTTATTATTCACCTTATTAGGGCTAAGGGTTAACGTAATGGTTGGGCTAAGGGTTAACGTAATGGTTAGGATAACTCAAGGGCTAGGGTTAAAGGGGTCATATAATGCCATTTTTGTGCAAGTGAATATGAATCTTTAGGGTCTAAATGAAAACTTTGTAATATACTTTTATTAAAAATTCTCATTAGTATTTTAAGAAAAAACTCATTTTACAGCTCAAAAATAGCTCTGTTTTCAGCACGCCGTTTCAGTGCACAATCACATGCCTTTAAATGATAATGAGCTTTGCTCACCCCGCCCCTCTGCGTACACAGTTTTTATTAACACAATAACCATAACGCGTTGTTCATTATAAACATGGGATTATGAATTATATTGAGAACATTGTAACGTTACATAGAATAGATGTCGTATTGGTAGTAAACAATATTGTGGAGGTAGTAAAAAAGGTAGTAAAAGGTAGTAAATTCATCTCTATGATTCCTGCAAATACCCTGGAAATGGTAAGAAATTATATTAGATTGAATGGAGGATTTTAACTGTGACAAGATGATTGACAGGGCACTGGGCAGTTTACGGTGATAGGATGCACGCGACAGAGGCACAGAGCTGTCCGTTAAAGATGACGAAGTAGTGTGTCCCAAAGCTTGCCTACTCCTTTGCTACACACTCAAAAGTATACTTTTTCTTCACAAAAAGAGTACTTTTAGGGCGTAGTATAAGTAGGTGAATTTGGAGCAGCCTTTTATATTGAAAGGACTGAAACTTGTGCACACGAAGAAGCAAGACGCAACTGACTAGCGTAACTGTAGGACAAGATATATTGCTGCGGATATTCAAACGAGGAAAATGCTATATCTACTGTAAATGCAGGTACACTTGCTTACTCGATCTCTCACAATACTACTCTAACTCACTGATCTATATAATGACATTGTCATTCTATATAGATCAGTGCTCTAACTACTCTATAAGCTTCAATGAACAAATTACAATATGAAAACATATTTTTACGTTGCTAAGAGTGGTTGCTAGGGTGTTGTGTAGTGATACATAGAACCGTTGGGTGAAGTCATAGCCGTGTTTTATTGTGAATAAAACCCAGCTATTGACCAATCAGAATCAAGGACTGGAACTAATTGTTTTATAATAACTAATAATTTGTATTATTTGAATTCATTATATAATATACTTATTTAATATGTGAGCTGTCAAAAGGAAGTTGAAATGCTTACTGGAATAAGGTTCTCGCCTAGTGGCATGTTTACTGATGCCTGTTTCATAGTTAGGAAAACATTAACTGCAGTTTTGACATCACCAAAACTGTTATCGGAATCTTCGGATGTGTTGTTTTTCAAACTCTGAAAGATTAACTGAGCGACCTCTTGTGTTGCTCCAAGTCCTTTTTCAAAATCCTGGAGTGAGATAAAAATGAGACATTTTCACATTAAAGAAATAAATTACTTCACATGCCATAGTTGTGTCAGGTCACTCAGAATCAGTCAGGTCTATAGATGCGCATTCTCATCCTTTGGCGTCATATTGAGAGTGAGGAGTCACGTGCCGATTTGGGCGGGGTCTGAGCCGGTCGGCCATGATGGTAGGAGACGCTATCGGTTGCCAGGGGCAACGCCTTCAGAACTTCACAGAGGCGCGACACTAAACATCACAGAAATAGCGAAAGAGAGACAGCGCAGCTTAGTATTTGTTTACATTTTACCGATACGCCGCAGATTCTTTGGAAGATATGGAGAAGGAAGAGAAATGAAAGGGGTTCTATCGGGAGAGACTAAATAACAGTGCTAGCCAGCTTAGAGAAACTGCTTGTCAATAAATTGACAGCAGCAACAGCGAGCAAAGCCTGCTTTCAAAAGCAACACATTTCAGCACAGTTCGCCTTTTATTTAACACAAACGAACGAAATTAATACTCTGTTATTCAACTAGAGTTGTTTCATTTGTTATAGATATATCTTTACCGCGAAATGTTTTAAAAAGACACTTTTTTAATGACGTACGATTCGCATTGACAGGGGAATGTCCGATCTGTTCGCTTAACGTTGCACGGCAGGTGCAAATGCACGCATCTGATTCATATCAGATTTATTTCCACAAATGAATGAGGCCTGAAACATCAAGTATGACTGAACTCTCGCAGTTTAACGTTACAGGTTTGGGGGTTTCTAAGTCTTGCACCCCAGCCGCAGCAGAATTGTTTCTAATGACTTAAAGCTTCTGAACTCTTGCATTGTGTAGGCAGTAACGTTAGGCACGGATACCATAAACCAGGTAATTGACTATGTAAGTGTATGTGAAAGGTGGTAACCTTAGTGCTTTGGGTCTTTCGTCCATTCTGTAGCAGGTCGTACGGGTCCATGTTGATGTCAAGTAGTTTCTCTAAATAAAGCTGCTTGGTGTTGTTATTTAGTCTCTCCCGATAGAGCCCCTATCCTTTTGCTTCCCCCTTCTTCATTTATTCCAAAGAAACTGTGCCTTATCGCAAAAATGCAAACAAATATCAAGCTGCTCTCTCTATCTGTCGCTATTTCTCTCGGTCTCACGGTCGAAGTAACCATGACAACGGATAGCGTATCCTACCAAGATGGCGAATCCTTCCCACACAAGGGGGTAATCCATCGACCGGAAGTTGAAGCCGGCCGGGTGCCGCCATGTTGTAGCAGTACTTCACTTGCGTTAGCATTTCCATTGACTCCCATTCATTTTGGCGTCACTTTGACAGCGAATAACTTTACATCTGAGGCGTTTAAAGACTCCATTTGTCCATTGTTTATTTCTAAAGAAACACGACAATGTATAAAGGGCTCCATTACCTTCTATGTTACATTATGGCCCCGTAGAAACAGATTTAGTAAAAATAGGCTAACGATTGCGTCATAACCACTCGACTCTCTGTCGCGCTGTACAGAAATGACCGTACAGACAGGAGGAAAAGCTCGCAGGCAATCGGGGGGACGTCCCGTCAAGGGAGAAGCCCATAAATAATGAGTCCATAAAAGCAACGGAATACTTACTCCTGCTCACTCACGCCAAAGAACTCTTTACTCAAGTTCCCCGTCTCTGCAAGATTAACGTTGGCAATTTTCACGCACAGCTACTAGAAGATTAACGTCTGTCAGACAGGTTGCTCACGTCATCAAGCTTAGTTTGAGTCGGTTATGTGTCTGCGCGTCAGGAACGGAAGTGCTCAAAAATCGCTAAAAATGGGCTTCAACTGTCTCAACTGAGTTCCAATGAGATTGCTCTGTCCACTTCTTATACTGTCTATGTTCCCACAATGCAACGCGGAGTGATACGCGTGACGTCACCTTCTCATTCTCAATAGGTGACGCCATATGACATTTCGTCGAAATCTTACGCTCATGGCATCCTTTAGCGTCAATATAACGCACTGTTATGGGTAGGTTTAGGTCTGGGGTAGGGTACGGTTATGACGCCTTGGGATCTGCGTCTCATATTCACGCTAAACGATGCCATGTGCGTTGGATTTAGACGCGCGTCACCTGTATGATGCCTTGGGTTCTGCGTCTCATATTGATGCTAAAGGATGCCATGTGCGCACGGGGGTCAGTTTGGTTTGAAATGTGGTGGGGACAGAGACGCATTCGGAAGTGCATTTTCAAAAGTGCTGGGTACAAACTCTGCAGCCTGTTTAACCCCTAAATACATGCATCTATCCGCAAATTTTTGTTTGAGTTCTTAAATGGTCTAGTAGTAGATCTTTTGCCAAGCGTGTCAGAGGTTACGGGTTCTAATCCGCCCTCGGTATAGTTTTTTTTCTCTCAAAATTGAATATGTTCATCAGTGGTTACAGTCTATATCAAGCAGCCAGGGACACGGTTGTGTGCATTTTATTTTGTAATTTCACCGGAATGAATATATAGAGAGTCTCTCCGCAACGGCGATAGATTGAAGAGCGGGTCCGAGTGAAGACTGCGCGCGCGCCGCCACAAGAGAACACTGTCTCCATGACACTGATAGCAGCGGACACGAGCGCTCAGCTTGAGTTAAAAACAAAACATTTTAGCGCTAGATCTCTTATTTAAGAGCGAACTAAATGAATGCTCTGCTAGTGTGAATGCTAAATGAATGCTCCCGACGAGCTGGATGGCGCCTTGCATGGCTGCCGTCGCCCGTCGGTGTATGAATGAGTGAGTGAATGGGTGAATGTGAGGCAAATTGTAAAGCGCTTTGGTGGCCATTGGGTCTGTGAAGGCGCTATATAAATGCAGTCCATTTACCATTTACCATTTAGTTAACTGGAGATGTTTTATTTGTATTAGGTACATCCGTGGCTCAATGTTTCCAAGAGTGGTGGGTACAAAATGATTCATGACGAAATCTGGTGGGGACGCGTCCCCACCGTCCCCACCGAAATCGACGCCTATGCATGTGCGTAAGATTTCAACGAAATGTACAAAGCGTCACATGTATGACGCCAAAGGATGAGAACATGCTGAGATTTGCATACCTTTGCTTGCAAAGCTACATTATTCAGGACTGCTTTAACACACAGAGAGACTTCTTCACCCCATGTTTTCCCATTGCATTTGCGTTTCATTGTGCCCTGTCTCCCTGATGCAGTACAGTCTATAACAGCTGTTTCATTATTCTTTGTTTTTGGCCATGTTCTCTCTTCAATTACGTCCACTGCACAAAACAGGTCACTGGCTACAAAAACAAACAAACAGACAAAAATAAATACGAACATTAGTTTTTTACATGACCAGTTTTGTAGAATGGCATACATTTGGATTAGAATATGACTTTCAGTACTTACGGTAAATGATTGGTATTTTTATTGAGTGATTTCGCAGCTGATTCAAAGTGTTCTCTAAAGTGCAACTGGCCTCAAGTGAACTTGGTTTGCCTTCTGCCAGACAATTAACAGTGAAGTCTACTGTATACTTGATTATACCACTGCGCACTGTAAAACATAGGTAACATTTTTACATGTGTTCACAGGTTATGGATAATTGAAATAAACAGTGATGTGGACACGCCCAAGTTTATGGCACGCCCAAATCAGGAACTTGGGTATCAAAATGATTATGATCTTCCCAGTGGTAAATACGACTTGAGAGGGCGTTGTCCAATTTTTAACTAGGAAACTCGTATTTACGATAAATCTGATAGCACGTGAAGGCAGCATAAAACTATATCTAGTGGCGAATCATCCAAATTTGTAAATGTTTTGAAACCAACGTTCGAACAGTATGATATAAAGCCTCATTTGCTGAAATCACGTGACTTGACGAGTTTGACACAAGCTCCGGACCAAAAAAAAGATTTTTTTCCTCCTCCCGAACTTTGTTGATAAAACATCATTGCACATACTCTAAATACATTTTGGAGCCACTGCAAGCCAGATTTTGATCGATTGCACTTCACAAATGATGAGCTAAGACACATTTTAACAAAGCTTGTCCTGGAACATGTTTACATTTGTGCTACTTGGTAAATTGCTTGATTTTAAAACCTGTCAAATATATTTGATAGAATAAGTATAAACTTAATGTGATTTGAAGCTTCAGTTGATTATTTGCTCTTTGAAAGATAAAAGTCAGCTTCATGTGCCATCAAACGCAAGATTTCTATATAATATATATACATATTGATAATTTAATTACAGCTTTACCTTCTTTAATTGGTGTAGTATTTTCTATACTTCCGAGTTTTAACCGGGATATGTAGGTTTCACTACTGTTGTCGATGGAACATGAGATGGTAACTTTGGCGGATGGTGCTTCAGAGCAATCTATAGTTTGTGGATTGCTTGTCACATTAATGGCTTCTGGCAGCAGTGCAATTTGAATAGGTGCCATGGCCATGTGAGCTATGTTCCCGCTGACAAAAAGGCAGCCGTATGTTCCTGGAATATCAAAAAATGACAAAAGTCACAAACAATAATATAAATGGAACCCTGTTTCTCTCATGTTTGCATTGAACAACACACCTGACCAGAATCCACTTGTCTTCATAAGTGTGATTGTTGATGTTTCTGTACAAGTATCTGACAGCATTACTTCACTCCCTGGTCCCAGAATCAATGGCACTTCTGCACCTCTTGACATCTGCCACACACACTTGCTCATAGCCTCTATACTGGTACAATTGAGCTGTTGTCTTGAATTATAACACAGTTTTCCAATAGGTGCCTCTATGAATACCATTCCTGTAAATTATAATAAAATACTGTGATGGTGAAAAGATGGGTAGGAATGGATAGATAGAACAAGTGATTAAAATATTGGTGTGGTTGCAGTGTTTTACCTAGAGACTTAACATTGAGACTGTAAATGGTTGGATTCGTCAATAATGTAGCAATTATGCTTTGAACTTTGGAGGTGGCGAACACAGAACTGAGAGACACTGTGAAATTGTGAGCGTATGTAAATGACCCTGTGAGACTGTGACAAAAGAGGGGAAACATGAGTTTCTCGGTTACAAAAACTTTTGTAAGCTAGATCTAATCAAATGAAGAAATAAAAATAACAAAGTATTTCAAGTGGTTATAGTTACTTGTTTACTTTCAAATAATACAATAAAAATTATGAGAAAAATATCTCACAGGGTGGCTTGTATAGTCAACGAGTTGAAGGCATTTAGCACACTAAACGCGGTCTGCAGCTGAAAAGCAAATGGGTTAGAATGATGAGTAAGAGATTTGTCATAATTGAATAAATAGCCACTCTGCATTAGGGTTTCAAAATCTTTTCATTAAATACTTGAATACTTGATTCTGTCAAGTTCATAGCGCCATCCAGCGGTAGATATTTCCTATTACTCGTCCGTGCCAACGCTCTATATCAGTTAGAAGCTCATCACTGAAACCCGCGCTACTCGCGCCCTGTTTCATTCAAACTCTGTCTGGTGCTTCCCCGTGTCTCGGTAATCGACCTAAATGCCATCAGAAAACGTCAGTTAATAGGTTATACTATTTAGTGACTGGAGAAACAAAGCGTTCCAAACTCTGAAAAAGCGCATAAAATATCTTCCGTTTTTAATTGAAAATAGTGTCGTGTAAACAGCCCCTAGTGTAGCCTATAAATTGACTCGCAAAATGAATCACTCGAAACAACACAGGCTGGCGGCACCTGCTGGTCAAAACAGTGTAAATGCAACGAAAACTCAGGCCAAACGTGTAAAATTGGCATCTTTCATAAATCAACTGCAAATATTTTCATGAATACGTGTCTATGAAATATAACCTACAAATAAAAATGTTGCGTTTTTGCCATGTAGGCCTAAATAAAGCTGCTTTCGAATCGCTCTCGCGATACTTTGATTTCATACACCGATTCATCGGCGGGGAGGAGCTGAAAAAAGTCGGGCACTTTCTGCTTCCCGTAGTGACGATGTTTGCATACTTAAACACAGCTGTGAAATAAATGCAATATTCAATACTTTGTACTGCTTAATACAGCGTCTGTTAAGAATAAAGTTCAATACTATACTATACTATCAATGAAGTGAGGTCTATGTTGTTTTTTATCCGTTTTATTTTGATACACATGACACAATATAAAATCGCGACTAGCTACATGAAAAGAGCTTTTAGCCTACTGTTTATTAAATCTGAGAGCTGGATCACTCCTCCATAGGCTTCTAATGGATTGAAACTTGCCGGCCCAGAAAAGTTAAAGACATCGTTAAAATAGTCCAAGTGACTACAGTAGCTCAATCTTCAGTTTATCAAGCGACGAGAATACTTTTTGTGCGCAAAAAAAACAAACAAAAATAACGACTTTATTCAACTATTAATTTCCTTCTCTGTGGGCCTCGAGATAGATCACGTAATGTATGTCACATGTAGGCTCACTATTGGCAAACGCTGGTCATGTGTGTGATGCGTTTGACGTACAACCTAGAAGCGCTGCGCAGTTACACTACGTGAACTATCTCGAGGCCCACAGAGAAGGAAATGAATAGTTGAATAAAGTCGTTCTCATTTTTGTTTGTTTTTTCCGCCGCAAGACTAAGCCGAACGCTGTGAGTGTGTGTTAGAAATTTAGGAATGGTGAGAGAACATTGTGCTTGCTACGTTTTTCGTTTTCAAACTAAACTCAGGTCTTTAGCTGACAAAGTTTAAATCCCGTCAGTCTACCGCGCTTCCTATAAGGTTAGGTCAGTAGGCGGTCTTTTGCGGCTGTTTGATCACGTGAGCATTTACACTACGAAATCAATCTGGTCTAATGCGTTTTCAACTACCTCTAGAAGTGGTCGAAAGTGGACAAGCTCAAAATGTAATACCAGGTGTAAACAGGGCCTGAAGGTGTGAGAATAAACACAAAACACACGTGATCGCTGTCATGCGGTGAATCCGGCCAATTGTAGAACAGCTGTGTTTTCATAGAGCTCGTGCAGCCGCCCTTGAACCAGCCGGCTGCTCTCGAATCGCTCTCACGGTAGATGGCATACGTCACAGTCACATGGCATCAGCACTTTCTCAAGTCAGTCAAAATTTCTAACCCGCGTGCACAGCTTCAAGCCAGCATCTGCGCAGAGCTGCAGCCTGCATGAAGTCGAACATGCCTACCATCTGCAGTGGTCAGGTGTTACAATGGCTACGTGGTACAAGTCGTAGCTCTCAAGAAAATTACGAGTTTACACTTTGTAGTTGCAAGTTATAAGGCTTTAAGGCTTTTTACAGTTCAGAATTGTTACGGTAATCTCGACATAGCGTAAACTCACCTAAATTCCATTAAAAATTACATTTCTGGAAAATTTTTATTCTTTTTTTTGTGCAATGCTTGTTTTGTGTGTAATTGGACAGGGCTTGGCAAAATAGTTAAATTAGAAGCAATTAAATACGATTCTCCTTTTTGTATCGTTCACACAGTATTAAAATTCATAAAGTTAGTTAAAGATGAACCTACAAGAAAAGTTAAAACCATTAGTGTCTGTTTCTTTGGGCCGCTATACGTAGGCAGTCTGCCATATTGCAATGATCAAAGCCGGTCCGTGTCCGTTCAAAAGCTAGCTGACTTAGTTTAACCGTATTTATACGCATGTATGAATAGATTACAATAGACTTCAGCAGATGATTTTCAAAAGATTTAATTGATCATTAATGTTCTAATTCTCCATAGTTTAAAAACCCTGTAATATTTGGGTTAATAGAAATAAAACACAAACTAACACATTCTCATCTGTGAAAGGTTATCCCATTTCTTCAGGACTTGAAATCTCTGCGCGGTTTTTACACGCAGAGTCTGCGTAATGTTGTGGCATCTTTGAAAACACATTGATTTTTTTACTGCGAGTAATGACAGCATCTGAAATGTTGACCGTTCCAAGATGGCGGACGACCGGACGTGTCAACGTGTCTGGAGCGGTGGAATGTGGAATCTACATATACAGGCTATATGATATGCTGCTTTCATGTCCAATTGAAAATTGTCCCCTCCACCATGTTTAAAGTTTATGCATTGGCACGCCCAACTAAGGAACTGGGTATTAAAATGATCCCCGAGCTTCCCAGTGGTAAATAGGATTTGAGAGGTTGTTCATGTCCAATTTTTATCTAGGAAACTCGTATTTACGATAACTCTGATAGCACGTGAAGGCAGCATAAAACCATATCTTGTGGCGAATCAACCGAATTTGGAAATGTTTTGAAACCAATGTTCGAACAGTATGATATAGTGAAGCCTCATTGGCTGAAATCACGTGACTTGGCGAGTTCGATACAAGCTCCGAACCAAAGAAAAGATTTGTAAATGTTTCGAAGCTTTAAGTAGTGTTTGAAAGCGCCCATCACTAATAATATTGACACAATATTCATGTTGGTCTCGTTACGTTTTATTTTATTCATAGCGGTAGAATTATAGCCTAAAATAATTTCACTAATTTCATCTCAAACCAACATTGATTTTTTTGAAGAGTAGCCATGTAATAAGCAGGATAACGTACACTCAGTGGATCGGACATTACCGCAAAATAAATCCAAATACGTTGGCGTCCTGATCGCCCTGTGGGGCCCTATAAGGACCGTCTGACCATATTTAATATAATACTATTCATTTCTGCAGCTGCTTACAAATGCCTTTCAGAAAAGGTAATAAATTATTAAACGAGTAGATGCATACGTACCATGGTTACGACTGTTGAGGAGCTACCAGTGAGCATGCCAATGAGTGAAACTATAAGGATCACAGCAGTGAAACAATCATAAATGTTGTTCAGAGGTGCACTCGTGCAAATTATGAATGGTCTAACTGACTTTAACTTAAATTACAACTTACCATTCACTTTGGGCAGACACAAAGGCGTGACGTATGATATATTTGCCACACATTTATCCACGTTGCAGCATTTATTTACAGAGTCACACACAAAATTGCTCCAAACATAGTCTGGTCCACACCAGCATGTTGTATTTTGGCCAATTATTTCACACTCTACAACACATTATCACATAATGACTTTACAGCATATTTATTCTGTTTTGAAATGTAATCTGGCAGGCTGGTTTAATGATACTGAACATTTCACATAGACTTTATTAAAACTGAATACAATCTACATCAGAAAGAAAAACCTGTTACATCTCTTACCTGCCGCAATTTCAGCATTTGTGATAGTCACCCCTGTTGTATCTAGAATGGTTCCTATAAGTCCAGGCAGATTGGCTGCAACATCTAAGGTTTTATTCCCCTCAATCATGACCTCTGCCCAATGGGTCACTTCTATGGACCCTGAAAACATCAAATGCAAAATTATACATTTGCTACATGCCTTATTTGTGTTTGATGTAACTTTGTATATAGTTTGTGGATTTTAAAACAAGATTTTTTCTTTTATTATTGTGGAAAGGACTGTCTGGTGAAATGAAAACTTACCCACATGTGAAGTCTGTTGGGTAACAGAAGAAGAAGATAGTAAGTACTTTTGTTATGCTTCTGCTTTTTTTAGTAAACAAATGATCATGATGCGTAATGACAAGAACGGGATTCTTATGTGTTAGAAAATATTATACAGCATAGACAATATATTTAAGTAAATTAGCATTAGATGATGACTATGATGTTTAAAAATTAATTTAATGCCATGATCATCAGCCAGATCAGCGGAAATATGAATTTCGAGGGTGGTTATACAGTGTGTGGCATTCAGGCGATTACTATTTGTTTTACTTGGGACAAAATCTGTTATCCTGTATATTTCCTTTATGAATTTACCTGGCTAAAAATGAACAGTGCAGCAAAAAGCAGCATTCCTGCACCAGACAGTGTCTTGATCCTATTAGGGAGATTGCATTGAATTCTTTAAAAGACAGTCAAAATGTTTGCCTAAATCTAAAACAAACTTAAAAGTGAAAACTTTCCCTGCACTTTAGTAAAATTGCATGCACAAATATCTATTATTCAAATTCTAACTATATTGTACAGTTTATATAGTATAAACTGTCCATGTCATCTCTCACTTAATCATCATCAAACCACAAAACGGCCAAAAACTTCAACAAAGCTAAGTGCTGCCTTTCAGAACAGCAGCTAAATAATTTCACAAGTAGCATTTCCTTTCAATAATTGTCACAGAAGCTGAACAAAGATCTTACATAAAATAAAAATAAATTCTACATTTGTTTGAAGATAAAAAAAAACACACAATGAGGATTACAATTATTTGGTGAACTGATTATTCTTTGAACATCGACATTATAGTATATATAGTAAGATGAGAGTATGTATATTGTGAGATAGATTTTTTTTTACACCATACTTTTAATAATCATATTTAGCTGCTGTACCTTTATAATAGACAAAAGAATATATGGACATGCGAACAAAATAAATAAATACTGACCTTACAGTCTGCATTTTAAAAGAGAGGATCAGCAAGTTTTAAGCAATGCTATCTGTCATAATAACATGTTCCCTGTGAAGAACCAGTTTCTTGAGTGAAATGGGGTGCTGAATGACAATTAGGGAAAGTTGACGAATGCAGTGGGGGTGGCGAAAACTAATTTACAAAGCTCTCTCTCACATTTGCATTTTACATTCTCCAAGTCCATAGGCCACCTGGATAAGTTAGCACACCATAGTCATAGCTTCAGACTTTCCATTGAGATTTGGCTAACAAATGTAGCTCAGAGCTGCATGCCTGCCTTGTCCTTCAATGTTTGGTTAGATTGTCATTTTTGGCTGATTTAGATTAATCATTTTCATGTTTAAACCTGCAGTACTTTTTAGAAATAAGATGTTTAGAAATAAGTTCTGCTGTTTCTGAATGTTGAATACCAGGTGGGAGGTGTATAAAATTGTTCCAATTCAGGCTTTCAAATTGTGTGGTACATAGACACAATTCAAATGAACTTTTTTGTTTATTGGAAATATACTAAAAAGTGCCCACTTCTGCACACTGTAAGTAAAAGTAAAACCCTGAATTTTGATATTTCCAATCTGAAAAATGGTCTTTGCACTCAGTTTAAGGAGAAATGGTATATTCTCATATGTTAACACTAATATAAAAATATTGTATATTTTCTTACATTTGTTGTTTGAAACCCCTGTGATATGGTTATGTTTCCCCGTTATTCTGACCACTATTGCATCTGGCTCATCTAAACCACACATGACTATGGTAATATGTGGTAACACACAGTGACCATGTTTATACAGCCTGAGGTGAAATTATTGAGCCTCTTCATTTGGCTGTTGTGGAGAACATGAATCTGGACTGTTGCGTAATGTTATGAAAGGTGATTATAAGTGAATTAAAAACATAATAATGAACATGTACTATTCATGTGTATGTTTTCATCATAATTTCAACATAATTACATAGGCTACATTTATTTAAACATTTAATAAAAGTTGAGGTTTTAAAAAGGTTTATTGTTAGGGAACACACTTGCAAATTAGTGTCTTGTTTTCTTCATAAGTATTTGTTTGTTAAATAAGCATCCATGGAAATGTATCTATTTTGCATGCTCATTCAAAATGAGGAAACATGCCCATGAAGGTTTAATTCCATTGAAGGAACCAGGTAAAATCATTCATATATTTCCTATTATTTTATTCTATTCCTTTTCTTTTTATAATGTTGAAAGGCAATTCAATGTCGCAACATTCTTAGGTGACAAAGCTAAATGAGAATATCTTCTTTCCTATGAACACTACATTTATTTATTTTTAACATGAGTCTCTTTTCTGTTTTTATTCTCAGCTTTTATCATAGTAATAACTTGTACATTAAAGAATAAGAACAGTGCTTCTACAGAAGTCAACTTTAGCCCTCAGATTATGAGGGGGAGTGTTTTGAAAATAAGTCATTAGGTGCATTACAGCCACAGTAAACGAACCGGCAGCACCACAATTTACATCCTTACCAGTATATTAAGACCATATGCTGAAACCTACATTGATGTCAAACCAGAAGCTAATCCAGCAATGATCATCTTTTAAATGTGTAAACACATACATGAAAGGCACACAGCAGACATATGCAAAATTCACACTGTGTGGCCATATTAAAATTAAAATCTGCTGTGAATTGGTGCTAATTACAGAGACTGTCGAGGAAGTAATTAACCAATAGTAACTAATATAAGCACTTAACACAATTATTCACAATTCTGTATTCTAAATTTTTATAATTTCATGGAATTCCTCACACTAAGAAAATTCTGTACTGAATTTTCACAGGTGCTTTACCAGTATCTTTTCGTGTTTTTTTTTACAGTGTTTGACCTTCTGGACCTTCCTATGATCCACAGGTACAATTTAAAAAAATGATATAATTTTTTCAATAATAAATCACAAAAGAATGATCAATTATTATTGTATATATATTTTGTTTCACAATATAAATTGTGCACAGTTGACAAATTGTGGTCCATTGTAGTCCCAATATATTTTTCTGTACTTTCATGATTGTGTAACTGTTCTATTATGATAATGAGGTTGATCTTTAGCAGTGAGAAAGAGGTTGTACAGGCCCAAATGTTAAACTCAAATGACTGTGAAAATGAATATGTGACATAGTGACATACTAAGAGGATGCAAAATAAAATACATTTTGAAAAATATATATTTTTACCAAGAATTCTGCAGCTATGTATTTGAATAAAAGTCATTATTTCAAGAAAATGTAACTATTGGGGAAATAGCAACATTTTATTTTTCTCACTTGTTTTTTTTAAATACGAACTTCAAGTTTTCAGAGTTTCTGCATCACAGACTGAAATGTTAAATGATTGTGAACATGATGGAAATGAACTCGAGTGTTGGATCACTAGCTGCGTGTAAATGTGAAGTGAGCAAGAAATATAAGACCTGTTGTGGATCTGTATTAAAGAAAGTTTTTTTGATATCCATTAATTGATATCCTTCCTCCGTTCTGCTCATATACAGTACCCTACCCTGCCTGCTTTTGAGGGGCACCTCGAGGCTCAAGCCCATGAGGGGAAAGGCTGTAGCTTGTCCGACGTTGCCACCCCGCGTGCCAGGCTTAAGAAAACAACTACAAAGTAAATGTTAAATAAAGAGGTGAAGCTGTAAAATTTCATTATTGGTGAAGCTGTAAAATGCAAAGTTTTATTAATAAATGCAATGACATCAACTGGATAGCAAATCTCTACAGTCAAGACCCATCCAATCACACCATTATTATTATTATAAATATAAAATCTGTACATTTCTTCAATGCAGTCTACCAATACATTTTATAGTTTACAAGCGCTTTTGGAAAAGCTGTTTCATGGTTAATAAATGCATTCATAAAAGTATCTCAACCACTGGAGCTGTATGAAGATGCAGTTTATTGTTTGTTTATTGTTTATTGTTTATTTATTTGGATCCCCATTAGCTGCCACTAATGTTGCAGCTACTCTTCCTGGGGTCCACATACAAAAACATACATAAAATACATAAAAACATAAATACGTAAAAACATACATAATCCAACCAACATTTAACATACAAGTTACACATAAATCTAAAACCGATACCTACAATACTTATGAAGAGTATCGTGTATACATAATAACGCAAGCTACCACCAAAACAGCATCATAACACACAAAACACAATTATACATCAAACCATTTATCTAAGCTCATCAATGTCTGTGTTATTATTCAAGTATTTTTTTAGTAGGCTTTTAAAGCCGGCCTTTCTAGGGGTTTCAACAATATAAATTGGTAAATTATTCCACATTTTAATGGCTCTATACATTACAGATCTGCACACAGCATCAGTCCTGGGTTTTTTCAAAGCTAGACAACCCTTTGTAGAATGTCGAGTACTATGACTATGTTGGTTTCTCACATACTTTATTTTTGAGTACAGACAAGTAGGTTGTTTCTTATAACAGATATTCCTAAAAAAAATCATAAGGTTGCATGACAACCTCTCCTCCTCTAAGCCAAGAGAGACTGGTATGCATACCGTCCGTACTCACACCCCATGGACAGGCCAGTGCAAATCTTGCAGCTTTATTTTGAGCTATTTGTAGCTTAAACAGATATTTTTTAGCCACACCTGACCAGACAGGTGAACAGTAATCAAGGTGGGATAAAACCAATGCCTGTGTCACCAGCACTCTAGTGGCAGGGGTAAGAAAAGGGGAACACCTTCTAATCCCAGATATTCCATTACCCATTTTCTTAACAATATTGTCAATATGTTTCTCCCAAGTTAACTGTCCATCCAATGTAACACCAAGCAAATTTACCTCTTCAACTTGTTCAATGTTCGAGTCTGTGAGTGATAGACAGAGCTGATTATCACCCTTACTGACATATCTAGACCTGAACAAGATACTTTTGGTTTTAGTTACATTTAAAACAAGTCTGTTTTCACAAATCCAGTTCACTACAAGTTGTAATTCTGATTGAAGTGTGTTTCTTAGTTCGCTTATACTAGCTGATGCAAAATGAACAGTTGTATCATCCGCAAATAAAGTCGCAGAGCACTTATTCAAAACATATGGCAAATCATTAATAAATATAGAGAAGAGTAACGGCCCAAGACAACTCCCCTGTGGCACTCCACACTGTAAAGTTTTAGGGAAGGAAAAAACTACCATTAAAAAATACATACTGTTTCCTATTTAATAAATAGCTATTCATCCAATTTATGGCTAATGGACTAAACCCATAAGTAGCAAGCTTATTTAATAATAACCCATGGTCTACAATATCAAATGCAGCGCTAAAGTCAAGTAACACAGTTCCAACCATCATCTTGTTATCAATACAAGTCAACCATTTATCTGTCATGTCTGTCAGAGCTGTGCACGTAGAATGATCAGCCTTATATGCATGCTGACAATGAGAATTTAAGTCATTAAATACAAAATAATGTAGTATCTGCTCAAACACAACTTTTTCCAGTAACTTACTTAAAACTGGAAGAATACTGATGGGTCTGCTATTTGCAGCTGAGAAACTTTCCCGTTTATTTTTCTGAAGAGGTAAAACCCTAGCAGATTTCCAAACCTGAGGGAATAACCCCTCCTTTAAACTCAAGTTAAAAATATGACATATTGGCAATGCTATAATACTTGAAACAACCTTAACTAATCTCCCATCTAAAGTATCCATCCCAGCTGGTTTATGATTATTCAGGTTGTCAAGTAGCTTTTCCACCCTGTCAACTTCTATAGGTTGGAACTCAAAAGAGCATGATTTATTATTCATGATAGAGTTTATTATTATTTGAGATGATATACAACTCCCACTCGGGGAGCGCATTTCATTCCTTAATTTATCAACTTTGTCTGCAAAATGACTACTGAAATGATTAGCGATGTCCTTTGCTTTTGTCAAGAACGCTCCATTCACTTCAATGAAGGAAGGATTGTTGATCCTGCCCCTACCCATTATTTCATTTAAGGTTTTCCAAAGTTTGTTACCATCATTTTTCCTCTCCTGAATTTTATCTTGATAATACATTTTTTTCTTTTTCTTATTTAACTTAGTTACCTTAT